CCTGTTTTGAGCGTGTAGCTTCTGCAGGGGTGCTTTGATGCTTATCTTCGTCAACCATTTTCGGTATATCTAGCAATTGAGGTGTTTTCGGTTCTTTGATGGGAGACTTGTTCGTTTGCATTTAAATGTGAACTCCAGAATTTATAAAATTGTTTTTGTTTTCCTATGTATTTTAATACCCGCGAATGATGGAATAATATGAGTGCACGTTTAGTCGATCGGATTTTGACTTACTTTTCTTTTCACAATGTATCCGCAATACTCTCTTTCGAGTTTTATTATTTACGGGCGTATGTATTATTATTTTTTTCGTAATATAAATTTTAATAATTTCGATGGGTTGGTATTTTTTTTTTAAATTAAAAATTGCTCATTAAATTATCGCAATTTAAATCTTTAACTTGAGGGATTTTATTTTTCCGAGCTTCTTAATATTTTTCCTTTACTAATTTTTCCTTCACTACTGGGTTAGTAGGTATGTATGTGAGTATATTAATGTTAGCACACAATGCTACCATATATTAACATATGTGTGTGTAAGTATGTTTACTAGCGAAGGACGGGAGAAGGAGATAATAGTTGTGTTTTTTTACAAATTATCCAGTAACTTGCCAGCAACTCTTCAGTAACTTAATTTCTAAGAATTCGCTCTCATAGAAAAAACTTACAAAAAAGTACGTGAACGCTTTTCCAGTAATAATTTGCAAGTTTCATGAACAGCTGATTAATTGGTTGTTTATTCGCAGCATATTCCTAATAAAACAATATATTTTATATTTAAATATGTTTATTTTGTGAATTACCACAATAAAAAGCCACAAACAGTTTCCTTATTAGTTTAAATTTCATCCAGCAACATGCGATCAGCTGTTTTTCGTACTGGCAAATTCTTACAAGTAAAAATTTATCCAGTAAAATCCAGTAAAAACTTGCAACTTCAGCTGTCATTTTTCGCTCTCTCAATTTCCCCTACTTTGCAAGTTTTTGCGTACGAAAATGCCAAAACATGAACATTCGTAAAAACTTTTACTGGAAATGAGTAAAAAAACGCAACTAATTTATAATTTCGTTTTCGTTGCTTTGTATATGATGTATGCCCGTTTGTATATAAATAAATAGGTGAGTATGTTTTGTTTTCAAAATTATTTTTGGGTTCAAAGAACGGGAGTATGTACATATGTATATTGACCACCAATATTAAGCCTGTATTATATTAGGTAAAGAAATGGCAATTGGGGAATAATGTTATGTCGTATGTATTGTTGTGCTTATGTGCACATACGCTATTCGTTATTTTGCCGCCAATTCTTATTAGTTATTATTTTGCTTTGTGGCTTACTTGTTTATGAATCCTGCTCGCTGTTTGTTATACAAACAGAAGGGGTATTGCTGGAAATATTTGCAAGTTTCCACTTGAATATGTTTTGCGGTATAATTGTTTGTATTTTATTACACAAAATTTAAGCACATAAGCGGAGGGATTCTTGTTATTGATATATGTGACCTGGTCTACGGAAAGGGGGCTTAGGTGTCAAAAAATCAATTTTCACTTTTTGGTTGATTCGGATGGAAGATGAGATGCTTTTTCACGTGGTGAAAAGCAGAAAATCCTAACTTGCTTAGAAGTGTACTAAAAATGTAGAGAAAGAAGAGTAAAAA